CATGGACATAACAGAGTATACTGTTTCACCCATGATACACCCCATGCGTTGCCATTCCTGAGGACTCAGGTGTTATTCCTCTGTACCCTGTAAATTCACTGCTATATCCCACCGTTCAAACCGAAACACAGCTACGCAAACATAACTGCTTCATGGTAGAAACACGAATGGGACACAGTACTTCTGTTCAAAATCTCCCTTCAATAATCTTAATAAGACCAATAGATGCCGAAACAATAATTTTTAGAAATTCTCTCCATCCAAAGGTTGTCTGAAAGAGATCTTAGCGATGAGGTCGCCTATTGTTTTCACATTGTGATCATTTCTTGTAATTGTTTATATCTAAAATAAGTTTACTACTGTAATCTTTTGGAGGAAACAATAAAGAGTATCTATCTATCTATCTTTTTCCTACTTCTTCGCGTACGAAGCAGCGAGCCAAAAGCTAGCTCTGTAATAAAACAATGCAACTCCATTGAGGTCAGAGCCGATCGATACGTGCCGCTGAGCACTTGATTGACAGAGGATACCGATTAAGATGCGATCACGGTACTTGAAGGTCATCAAAATAGATTGCTCGCTAATCATTTCCTGTTTCACTGCGCCAATTTGGCTGGAACAAATCTCTTATAGAGATAAGTCCACTCTCGCTGCCGAGATCCGTAATCTTACTGATATTTTGAAAGTTAATTTCTTCGCTTGTCTCCTCTTGGCGCCAATTGTCGTGCAATTTTTTCGAACTAACTTCAAAAAGATAGAATATCTCAATTTGAGTAGTATTTTATTGCATTTGTTACGTCATAACTCCGTCAACTGTAAATTGATTTAGAAATACGAGTATCTTTTTTTTTTATCTGAAAGCATATTCTTACAAAATGGTTACATAGAAATTTTATCAAAATCGGCCCAATAGGTTAGTTTTTAAATAAAAATAACTAGTTATGCCACAATTAAAATTGTTTTTTTTTTGTTTTTTTTGTTAAAAAACAATCTTAAATCATTAATGGATTAGGATGAAATTTTAAACTCGTCTGCGCTAACTGATGAATGATGATAGGTGAGAATGAAAACAGGTATATCGGCTCACTGTAACAAATATACTAGGAACTGATCACGATGACGTTAGAGTAGATAGACAGACCTTAATGGTAAAAATATTAATTATGTATAATAGTTTGCCACCTTAATGGCATAAAAATCATATAAATATACGTAAAAGTATACTTTTTTTAAGTTATAATACAACAATAGTAGTACAAATAATAGTAATAGAATATTTTATGCACGAAAATTATTAATTCACTCTTGCGTCACCTGCCCTTTTCTGTTCTGTTCTCCTTTAACTAAAGGTTGTCTGTAAGAGATTGCCCTAGCGATAACACCGCCTTTTGTACCTTTATGTGTATATTTCAATCTGTATTTATGTTACTGTATTTCACTTGAATTATTCACTTATCATTGTATATTTTTATTTATGATGCAATAAAGAATTAAATACATAAATAAATGAATAGTAATAGAATAATAAAATAAATAAATAAATGAAATAAATTAAAAGAAAAAGTATTTTTTATAACAAGAGAAATTGATCAAGTACCTACGAATAGAACCAATAAATCGATTCAGGAGAGTTCCTATAAAATTATTTCGAAAATCCTTTACCAAAACAGAATTTACGTTATTTCGTTGCGGAAGCACGGATAAAACACCTATTAACTTATTCGGAGAAATTTACAAATTATTCATCCTATCCTATTAATATAATAAATGCGGTAGCCTGTAACGATAGATGGATGAGTGTTTGTTACTCTTTCATGCAAAACCTACTGAACGGATTAGAATGAAATTTAGAAAATTTTATATACTTTTTTTTTATACAACTTAGAATGGCAAACAAGCTGACGGCCCACCTGATGGAAAGTGGTAACCGTCGCCTATAGACATGAGCAGTACCATGGACATAACAGAGTATACTGTTTCGCCCATGATACCCCCCATGCGTTGTCATTCCTGAGGACTCAGGTGTTATTCCTCTGTACCCAGTAAATTCACGCCATATCCCACCCTTCAAACCGAAACACAGCCATGCAAACACAGCTGCTTCACGGTTGCAACACGAATGGGACAGACGTACCCAAGCAATCGACTTTTGTACAATGTCTCCCTCTGGTAATAGTATACTTATTGATTCATACGGGCGGAGACGTGGGACACAGCTAGTTTATTATATGAATATTATTTTTTATTTAAATTTCTATTTATTTAAACATTATTGACCAATAAAATGTAATACAAAACGCGGACTTAATGATATAAGCATTTTCTACCAGTAAACCTTAAATATAAAAGTTATAAAGGAATCACTCATAACTATTTATCATGCAAAATTGTATGAAAAAGTTGGCCCGCTTTTCGCGAAGCATTCGAATGGAGACACTCTTCAGAATCTAAAAAGAAAACGACTCTGAATCCGCGCTGTTTGCGACCATCTAGTCTCTAAGGTATGGGGATGAACTCTCTGTCGATGGCGAACTGTTCGATGCTAGAAAGTGGCTGTAAGCATCATACTGAAAGTTCATCATAGTTAGTTTCGTATATAATCTAAGGGAAAAAACGTCTCTGAAACCGCGCTGTTTGCGACCATCTAGTCTCTAAGGTATGGGGATGAACTCCCTTTCGATGGCGAACTGTTCGATGCTAGAAAGTGGCTGTAAGCATCATACTGAAAGTTCATAGTTCAGACTTCTAATAAAATGTTACAAATATCGATATTTTGCATTATATCCGTCGCATTTATAGAATATAGACAAACTCCATTCGCCGCAGTCTGTACGTATTTAATTAAAATTTTATACCCTCGTAATTGTTCGCCGAAGTAGATCATTACGTCGCTCAACCCACCTCGCCTTGTGATGAATATTCACAAAATATTTACACAAAGCTACTATTTGAGAGTGGAGACGTCCAAGTGATAATCTTACAACCGCACGGACGGGGGGGGGGGGGGAAGAATTGTTGGTAATGGGGAGGTTAATCCCTATTGGCAATAGGATAGCAATGGATAGCAATAGCCTATTGCTATCCATTGCTGACGGCCCACCTGATGGACAATGGCAACTGAATAGTTTTTATTTACTTGATTTGTAATGTAAAATCTTTAGAATAAATTTCAAATCTTTACATATTGTATTTAAATATTGTAATAACCTGTACAAGCAAATAAATTTATCATTCTTTTTCGAAGCATGTAATTTAATCGAAAAACATACATATTACGTAATTCTCTTCCGCAGCCTAATTAAACAATTCACAGATATGAAAAAAAAAACAACAATTTAAAATGATAATAGCCACGCAGTTCAATAAACGCCAGTTGTTATCGAATAACAAGGCCATTTTCTCTTTGAAGAATAAATTGCAGCCGCCAATTAAATGTTACTTTAAAACTCGACTGCGAGCGCGGTGGCCGTTGCAAATCTAGTTTCAGCTTTAAATAGAATGCAAATACAGTTGTATAGTTTTTTTTTTTTTTGATGGGTGAAAATGGTACGGTAAACCCCGCCTGCGCTAACGGTATACGCTGGCGGAGCACCAGTGAAGGGTGATAGATGAGAATGAAAACAGGCCAGTTAGCCCATCATGATGAATTCATCAGGAATTAACCATGATAGTTTCCAGGGGGAACCGCGAGGCGGTCGACCTGGTTGGGTATATTGCTAACAATGGGATTCTCAGTCTCCATTACTATAAATCCCTTTCCCCCCACAGTTGTATAGTTGCGCAGTGGCTTAACTACCATCTTATAAGACAACAACTCAACAGCTATTTCTCTGAACAAATAAAACTTAATTCATTATTTGCTCAAATTAATATCATGTATTGAAGATATATTATCAGCTGGCAAATAACATATAGACGACCTCGTCTGCTTTCTATACAAATATCCCTATTAATTCTACATTCAATTTGTTACTCAATACACACACACATTTTGCTGCAAATGGTGGTTCATTATTTTATTAGGAATCTACAATTCTTTTTGCAATTGATTAAATTTATTTCCATGTAAGTATTTTATCAATTTTGTAACATATTAAATAGCTACCAGATGGAGACTTTGTACAAAAGTCGATTGCTTAGGTACCTCTGTGCCATTCGTGTTTCAACCGTGAAGCAGCTGTGTTTGCATGGCTGTGTTTCGGTTTGAAGGGTGGGTTATGGCGTGAATTTACTGGGTACAGAGGAATAACGCCTTAGTCCTCAGGAATGGCAACGCATGGGGGGTATCATGGGCGAAACAGTATACTCTGTTATGTCCATGGTACTGCTCATGTCTATAGGCGACGCTTACCACTTTCCATCAGGTGGGCCGTCAGCTTGTTTGCCATTCTAAGTTGTATAAAAAAGAAAAGCTATTTTTTTTGTAGAACTAAATCTTACTAGTGATCGCGCCGTAATCGAAATTCGACCATTACATAAATATTCAGTAAGACTATAAACAAATAATTTATAAAAAACAAACAATATTAATCTATTCTTAATTTAATTACAGACTTTAACAATAAACAAAAGAGTATATATGCGTGTGTGTGTGTGTCAAATACATGGTAGTGTGTGTAATTTATTTTTTATTGATTTAATGTATTTTTTATGCATAATTAAAAAAAAATAGCATTCTGCAAACCTTCTCTATATAAACTATAAGTGTGCCAAATTTCATACTCCTCCGTCCGCGCAATTTTCGTCAAAAGAGGTACAAAGTTTTTGCTTCACGTATTAATATATAGATCATTAGTAACTATACTTTATTTGAACTGTCAATTCCTTTTAAATTAAAAAAAATATGATATTTTTATAAAAAAAAATCTTTTTTTTTTTCTGAATGTGTTTGCTGTTGGCCGTGTGTGGCCTTTACAGCTTCACCGGACGCGAAAAGAAAAAAAAAAAAAAAAAAAAAAATCTATAAATATTTTTCATTGTAATGTAACATTACAACTTACTTGCAATAATACAGTCTGCCATCTCTCCCCGTATGTACAGTCCAGCCTTCTTTCAATTCGGCCTGTAGCCTTTCTAACGCGGCCTCATCTTCCAACGCCCGGCTCGGTCTGGGACTGCCAGCCCCCAGTCGTGGACTTCCAAATTTTGGACTGGCGCCCAACTTGGGACTATTGGCGCCCAACCTGGGACTATTAGAGCTCGAAGCTCCATCGCTCAAACTCGGACTGCCGGTGAGTCGTGAACCAAAGTTTGGACTAGGATTTGGTCTCGGACTGGGTGCAAGTTTCGGACTGGCCGTGCCGCTGGGACCAGGCGACGATGACGCCTGCTGCAGCAGCATCGCTTTCAGGTCATCGCATCATATTGAAGATCAATGTGATCTGAAACAATAATAAAATGGCATATTAAAATACGGTAATTCCTATGATTGTGAACATTTGGTGAAATGAATAACCAATTCATCTATTATACATAGAGTAAAAGATTCTTAATAAATAAATTTTTCATGATAATTATACTACTTGACCAGTAGATGAATGAATAACTGTACAAGTGGCAAGAAAAGCTCATCAAAATAATAAAAAAACACGGTCGTTTCCTGCAACGCGTTTGATACAACACATCAAAAAGAGCCACAAAAAGAAACACAAACGAAACGCCCTCGTCGACGAGCTCTCTAAAATGGCAACAACGATTAAAACTGGCCACAAAAAGTCCACTGAAAATACCGCCAAAATTGCAGTGAAAAAAGAACGCGACCGCTCAAACCGTAATCGTTGGAACGCCACGGGAGAAATATGAATGAAAATGTCCGCTCTACAGCGTTGCCAGGTTGTGTGTTTATCCAGCAATTCTGGGTAAAAATGTGTAGGTATCGTAAAGAAATATAATAATTGGATTTTTTTCGAAGAAAAATTTATAAATATATGCGTAGATAAATACAGGCGCTGGCAGGCAGTAGGGCGACAGTAGATGGTCTTTTTTCATATATCACAAAAGAGACGAACAAGCACACGGCCCATTTGATGGTAAACGGTCACTGTGTCTTATGATTTTTATCGTCAATAGTATTCATTATTTCTTTAGCAATACGAATTAGTAATCTTTGCATACAGGTAATTATTATCGCAACATATTGAAGAAAAATAATTGCCAACTCGGAGAGAAATTGTAAATAGCATCTGGCAACCCCGGCGCCATGTTATTCGCGCATTTCCATTGGTCACTCGATAAAGCGCGGGGATTAGAATGACATGGGAAGAGCTCCGCATAAATACATTGTCTCGAATTGAGAAATGGACTCAAAAAGTACAAAACAAAACTGTATATAGGAGAGCTTACTATCACATTGTGTTCGTGACAACTCTCTTATCTGATTCCGTGCGCTTTAAGTTTTTGCCACGTTACAAACGATCGTTTACGTCACGCGACTAATATGTCACACGTGTAGAAGTAAGAGCCTATTTACAACGCTTTTATAAGTGTATTTCCTGATTTTTATTACGTTTCTAGGTCACTGAAGCGTTAAGTTTATATTGAAATGTTTTATAAACATTGACGAGATTATACATTTTAATACGCAAATAATGGGGGGAAAGGGATTGTTAGTAATGGAGACTGATAATCCCATTGCTAGCAATATACCCAACCAGGTCGACCTCCTCGCGGTTCCCCCTGGAAACTATCATCGTTAATTCCTGATGAGTTCACCATGATGGACTAAGTGGCCTGTTTTCATTCTCATCTATCACCCTTCGCAGGTGCTCCGCCAGCGTATCCCGTTAGCGCAGGTGGGGTTACCACTCCATTTTCACCCATCAAAAAAAAAATACGCAAATAATACAGTAGCTACGCATTTTACATAAATATCTTTGTTTACATAAACAAAATATTTTTAGTATCAAGAACAATATTGAAACTGTTATACTCAATTCTTCGGTCAAACTAAATACAATCTCGAGAGTACAAATTAATTGAATTTCAAAATTTTTAAACCATTTTAAAGTTTTCACACTAAACTCGTCAATAAACCTAATAGTTATTTGAATAAAATTAAAAGACCTGAGTTGGTATTTTTTTTTATGGGTAAAAATGGTATGGTAACCCCGCCTGCGCTAACGGGATACGCCGGCGGAGCACCAGTGAAGGGCGATAGATGAGAATGAAAACAGGCCAGTTAGCCCATCATGATGAATTCATCAGGAATTAACCATGATAGTTTCCAGGGGGAACCGTGTGTAGGTCGACCTGGTTGGGTATATTGCTAGCAATAGGATTCTCAGTCTCCATTACTAACAATCCCTTTCCCCCCAGACGATACATATTATATATTTGTAAACAAAAATTAAGTTGCATAAAAGCTATAAGCCCGGATTTAAAAGAAATTTCGTACACCTGTATATTATATACTAACTCAGCACATAGAATATGTACTGATTTACGTAAGCGAATCTGCTGGATGCAGCTAGTAAAAAATATACGAGTAAACAAATTGGAAAGGTGTTCCTTTTGGAAATCACTCAGAAACCCTATGCCATTAGCGATCGCAATGTTTCACGTTGTAAAACGTTCAAATTTCTACTTTACTTCGTTAAGTATTGGTCCCAGATCATAGATAAGTCACGTGCAAAAACCTGTTGAGGGGAACGGCAAATATATTCGTATCTTTCACCTTATTTATTTTGAACAAGTCGAATCTCTCCGTAACTCGGGCGACACCCGTTGAATACAAATAACCTGCAAATCAGATATTAAGCAAAGTTCGCAAACTGAATAATTTCAAGAAACGAAAGTTACGTGTTATTTAAAAAGTATATTTGTGCGGGACGAATGGTAACTATGTAATTTGTGTCTAGACAGGCCCTATCGATCCGGTGATCGTTGAATTGTGAAGGATTTTTTTTTTAAAAGAGGATGTTAGCAAGTCGCCTGTGTCTTTTTGTTGTTGTTTCGCCATATCTCCGACAATTCTATAGCGATTTCGATATTATTTTTCAAGCCATATTATTATATTGATTGATATGTAAATTATTAACCCCATTTGACAATAGATGGCGTTAAATATGAAAATTTTGATAAATGCAGCAGAACATTCATTGTAACTAAATGTTATTATGCCACAAACAAACGAAATCGACGGCACTAATTTATTACAGGAATTTTTACTAATTTATTACATTTTTTTACTAATTTTCTGACAATTTTATATTATAAAAACCAAAGCTTCTGTTAGACTTAGGTGTAATTTATCACATTTTTTCTAATGAAGAATTTAACTTAATTGTAATTGATAAAACAGTTTAATAAATAATTAAAATAAGATTATGAAACTTTTAACTTTTTTAAATACAAAGAAAGTACCCATTCTGATTATGTATTATATTTCCCTTTTATGGACCTCATTAAAGAATTAAACAGCAAACATACGTGTTTTGCTAATTGTTTACAAGTATATCATCTTATTTATAACAGTTTTCTTTATTTATACTAAACAAATTGTTGCACCACTCTATTTTATAGGGGGGAAAGGGATTGTTAGCATTGGAGTTTGACAGCCCCATTGCTAGCAATATGCCTTATCAGGTCGACCTCCACGTGGTTCCCCTGGAAACCATCGTGAACAATTCTCGTTGAATTCGTCACGATGGGCTAACTGACCTGCTTCATACTCACCTATCATCCTTCACTGGTGCCCCGCCGGTGTATACCGAAAGCGCGGGTGGGGCTACCATTCCATTATCATCCATCAAAAAAAAAATCTATATTGTTTGCGCACGTTTACGTATGTCTTTACACATTCAATAACAACACGCTCTTTGTATGCATGTTAATATTGTATTAGGCATGTAAGATACTATCACAATAAACGGGCACTTAAAGTTATGTAGTTACGGCATTTAATGACCAACAATCGACGTCAATCTCCCCCACGCCATACTACAATTTCTATGTAGGTTTGTTGTAGCTAGAAAACAATTAATGGAACCTCCCGTCAACATTACTGCCGCAGAAATATTGTACAGAATAATTGTAGTCTTGTAGTAGGGCAGTTACAGGTACGTTAGAGTGAGACAGCGATAAAGTAAATATGACAGGTAGCCGGCCGTTGACCTCAGTATTGTGTAACATAATATTTTCATAATCGACGAATTTTGATACGCTATTTGTACAGTTTTAATTGCGTTTCGCACATTTAAGCACATGCATGATGTGATATTATAATTTTTGTACCATTTTATTATTGGTTTTAATCATGGCCGTATCTAAGGTCGAAGGGGGACTTTGACGGGCAATGTCCTACCTTAAAAGGCCCGATGCCCACCTTATAACGGAAGAGCCAAAGAAAATTAGACACTTAATTATGAATTCTGTATTACCAAAAAGTTCTTTTGTCCTACTTTAAACTGGGATCTAGTTACGTCCCTGGTTTTAATAAAATGTTAAAAATAACTTACTTAAATCCTCTGGCATATTATATTAGTAAAGAAAGAGAAGAACAAACCAAATATGATAATAACTCATCTGCAGATATTTTATTATCTGGATGCTATTTTGGAACTTAATACATTTAAGTAATAAGGAATAGTTTTAAATTTTAATTACAACTACTAGTTGGTTTATGAGCAAAACGTGTCACTAAAATGGCTCTTATAACGCTAACCATTCCGTGAATTGCCATCAAAAACTGCCAATTAGATGTATTGCAAACGTGAGTCGTTTAGAAACCCATTGCGAAACACCAAAAGTGACCGCGTAAGACCCACATAACACGCCCTAGAATTCCGCCAATAACCTATCACGGCTGGGGAAACGGAGCGAAACGTGGGCGGAACAAATGTCACACGTTTTTGCACCTTACCGTGGCATTTGTCGTTATAAATTCCAACTGAAGGTCACATTCATTTGCGGTAAGTGCCTAAGAGGTCAATGTAAGTGTCCCCTTCTTGAAAATGTAATGCAACAATAGGTACGTACTTTATGTACGTATTTTTTTAAACAATTTTGAATTGTAAACAAAGATATGCCCACGCGACGACTAATACGATTTATGTATAAATTTATTTATTTATTCAATAGTACAAATATGTGTACATGGCGGACTTAATGCTAAAAGCATTCTCTCCCAGTCAACCATAGGGAAGTGTCAGAATACTCGAATGCGGTACTAGTAATTATTGATATACATACATACTAAAATATACACTGATAAGCAGAACTGAACATACTTTCAATATGAAAAAATATATATACAAATAAAAAAATAAAAATAAATAAATAGATATAAAAATTTCTAATAAGTATATACCTATTAGTTCAACATCAACAGACCAAATTCACACTAATTACAAAAAATAAAAAATCAAACTATATTAAGAAAAAC